AAATGAACGTATGATTTAATGTCAATTGCTGTGACTGAGTACTTATATATTTTTCTTTCAAAAATTGTTTATGATTGTAAAAATATAAATAAAATAATTTACATTAAGTATATAAAAAGTTTACAATAAAATATCTACAACTTTTGAGAGCAATGCTTGTGAAATGTGATGGTGTTACATTACATAATTAGATAAAAATACATACTAATAATTTATACAACTTAATTTCAATATAATAGTATAGAACAACAGGACAATGTAAATACAAGAAAATTAATAATGTTCCATTGGACATTTCTTTTCACACTGTTCCATTCTTTATTTTTACATTATTTCCTTACATTTAAATTATTAGTGAAAATAACCATAAATTAATTTGTTTTTTTATACATGTAATTCTAATGACATATAACCCAAGTAAGTATTAAGTATAATCACTATTGATTAATAATAATTAATAAGTATACAAATGTGTTCTATACTTAATTAGTTATATTATTTTCTTTTTCTCATTGAAGTTGTTACCTATAACTTTTCTGTTTAAATTAATATAATATCACATAACATTTGTTATAAATGATTATTCATTACCTTTAATATTTTTATATAATATTAATTGATATTTCCAGTGTTTGGTAGTAACATAACGCAAATTACAAATTACTGTAATGCAATTACTTTTTCAGTAACGCAGCAGTAATTTCTTTACATTTTATTTAAATTAACGCAATTGTAACAAAATTACTTTTGAAAAGTAATTTCTATGAAGTAACGTACTAACGCGTTATTTTTCACATTATTAAAATAATAGTTTTGAAAGTATTACAAAAACAAGCAGATAGGATATACCAGAACAATTAAAAATCAATTTTATTTATTTTTGATTCCGATAATAGTTAACAATATTACTATACATACCAGAAATAAATGTTATCACTTCATTAAGAGAAAGAAAAGAGTTCGGTTTAAAAATAAAATTTTTTTAATAAAACTTAATTATACAGCCATATAGTTGAGGTGATTGCACATTTGTACATAATATTATAATAGGCCTATTATAAATATAGTGTCTGAAATAGTGTCTTGGGACGGTAGACAAAAGTGAACACTTCTACTAACATTTCTTACGTAGAAAAATGACCATCTTCTTCACAAGTTTTTCCTTTCCTTATACTCGATACTTTTTGCATTTCCACAAATTTTTTTCACTAAGTAAATAAAAATGAATTGATATAAAACAAAAGACAATAATAATATGTGGATAGATATATATAATTATATGTATCTAAACATAGATAGACAAAAATAAATATGTATCAACTATACCCACCTTTGTAAATTGTCAAAAACTGAGTCCTTTGATTCACTTGACTAATTTTTTAGTCGCAGCACGTATTCTTTTTGACGTTGTGAGTGGGATTTTCTTTCAACTCTAAAATGATATTATAGCGTTATTAAAATATTTGAATCACTAAACAATCATGTATAAAGATCGTATAAATCAATTAAATTTTTTTTAGTGTCTGTCATCACGTTTTAGGACAGTAAAAGTGCTTGGATTTTCTTCAACAGTAGCTTTTCTGATAGGAAAGTGAATCTAGTTGGTACTTTGGGGGGTCAAAAGTAAAAATTTCCCAATAGTTTTCAAAAGCGCCGTGAAAAACAAAAGAAAAATTAAGGAAAAACGGGCATTTTTACGCAAAATCGGTTTTCCAAAAAATAGATTTTGGTTTTTGGTGTAACTCTAAAAGAAATGAACGTATATACATGAAAATTTCACTGGTTGTTTATATTTGAATTTTATATACATGATAACATTTTCAAAATATTTTGATTTATTTTGAACTGTTTAGGGACATTTTCATTTTCCATTTTTTTTTTAGTTTTTTTTTCTACATTTACCACTTTTAATTTTTTTTGCTATAAATATCAATAAAGTTTTATCTGTTGGGCTAAAAAGTGTAAAAATTTAATACAAGGCTCCTGATATATTGTTACAATATCAGTTGAAAAATATTAAAAATACATAGGCACAGTTTTTTTTTATAAGCATTTAAAGATCAAATTTTGACAAAATTTATCAAAATCTCGAAAATTATCAATCATTGTAATTAATAAATTATAAAATGTTCAGTTTTTATAGCTAAGGATTGCAAATTTAAAACAAAGGTTCTCATAAATAGTTCATACTGTAACCAAAAAATCTAAAAAATATATGAACACAGTTATTTTTTACAGACGTTTTAAATTCAAATTTCGACGAAATTACATATTAAAAAACCTAGAATAACTATTTTAGTTATTTTGTTGTGATTGAATAATGTTATTCGTGAGTACTTGAAACTTCTAAAGTGTACTATTATATTATATCTATGATACTATCATGGTTTTTGTTGATGTATAACGCGTTATAAGTACCTAACGGATATTGTGATATGATTAATTTGGAATTAATTATAGGTCAAATTCTGGTTTAGTACCATAGATATGTATATAATATGTCTTATACCTAGACTGACATACCGTCTTCTCTCAGAATCGTTTTTCTTATACAATGATATTATATCGTTGAATTCAAATTTAATATCATCCATTATACAGTGACCCACTTGTAACCTACTGTACAGCAGAGCGACACCCACTTGCCCACCTTTTTTATATTATAACCATTAAAAAGGTAAGAATTTAAGCATTCATAAAGTTTGAACAAAGAAAATTATAATATGGTTATAACACATTAACAAGATCAATATCAAAAGTGTCAATCGTATACAAAGAATAATTAAATACATAATACAATATATACTCCTACAATTTGAACGCATTTAAGATACAATGAGTATATTGAATATCAATAAGGTAGAAATATTAACAAACCGAGGCTGAAGAAACTCGTTACACGCACATTCTGCTCAGTGGATTTTCTATTCCTTGCACTTATACAAGATGGTATATACATAGATTATAAATAATGTTATATAAATACCTTTGTTGATAGTCAGGATTTGATGCATTTGTTGAACTACACATTTTTTCTTTTTCTTTTTTACGCTGTCGATACTCTCTTTGACGTTCAGATTTTGTTTTCTTTTTCTTTTTCGACACTAAACATTAAAAATCAAAAACAAGTAATAGAAATTAAAACAATTGCAATTTTTACTTCGATACAATATTCTCTATTCATTATTATTATAGAAACTTTGTGCAACTAAATAATTGAAATAAATAAGTATATTTTCAATATAAACTTACTTGGCTACGATTTCGTTGTTTGATGATTCTGCATTTGTTTTTTCCATCATAATATAATGAAAGTTATGATTTTAAAAATCACAAGCAAGTATATACACATAACACGTGTATTTAGAATAAACGTATTTGTACTGCAACAGCGACACTACTGCTGGAGCACACATATTATATATATATAATAAATTAAAATTAACTTTGAACTTTTTAACTGCCCAGCCTTGGTGATTGGTGAGGTACCATTGAGGAAGGTATATCAGTAATAAAATATGTAAAATAATCATGTTAATAATATTAATTATTATTTTAGCCATAAATCATAATTAATTTGAATTCAATTTTATTTTTAAATCTCAAGTCTTTCATTTTCTGCTAATAACATTGACTCCTGAGATCTTTTATAGGTAATATTGTTGATTATTATCTAAACGTTTCGGAACTGTTAGTTAATTTAATTGATCTTTTGTCGAATATCCTAGCACAATAAAAAGAGTAATAGTCGTAATATAGTACTGTCATCCTAGCCTCTGGGTTTTGACGTCTTGTCATCGACAACATATTTTTTAATAACGTCGAAAGTAATGAGTTACACCATTGAAATTACTTTTAAAGTACCTAGTTACAATTGCGTTAATTTAAACAAAATGTAATGAAATATTACTGTAATGAAAAAGTAATTTCGTCACAGAAATTTTGTAATTTGCGTTACGTAGGTTACTACCCAACACTGCCTACTGATAACATTTCTGGATGTAACCATTATGTTAACAGACATGTTGTACTTACTGCTTGAACAAGTTGTACTCATAACAATACAGTCCTTATTATTAATGGTGGTCGGTAGCCGTAGCACAACATTGCTTTAATTTAATATTATTAATTTAAAATTTATCTCGCATTTATCTATGAATGTTTGTGACGTGATAAGACGTATTATAAAATGTGTGATAATGCCGGGCGATTAGCATGATAATAAAAATAAGTAAAAACAACAACAATAACAATAATATTATTGGTGACAAAAATATTATAATAATATTATATTTTAACGTCAATATTCGATCGTATGTATCATCGTAACAGGATCAGCAATACCAATAACAGCGGAACAACGACAGTAGCAACTAGCAGCTACAACAACAACAACAACAAAAACACCAACAACAACAACAACAACAACAACAACCACAACATCAGTTAATAGTGGTATTTCATAATATTATTGTAATGTAAATGTACAAATTCGTAGGTATTCTCGTAAAATTCTCGTCACGAAAAATATAATAATATTTTTCGACTTTTAACAATAAAATATGCTGATAATATTTTATATTATGTAAGCAATAATATTATTATCATAATATTATTAGGTCGCCCATCGTTCCCGGTTATCCGTATCACAATAATTCTCCGCCGCCGCCGCCGCCGCCGCTGACGCCGTCCGGGCCGGCGCGTTATAGTCGTCTCCGTCTTCGCTGCGGACGCCGCACGCGCAGTCGCCTACCGACACACTCGTCCCGAGTACTCCCGACGGCACGTCAATCAATACTCCACTCGCTACGACGGTACCTACGACACGTACGCCGCCCGACAAACGTCGCTACGCTCCAGGTCTACCGCTGCGCACCATCCAGGCGAACATCCACACCCACATCGTTGTTTAGCTTTCGTCGTCGTCGTCGTCGTCGTCGTTGTCGCGGGCGGGTGCTCGGGAGATAGGATCTGCTGTGCGAGAGTCTGTTGTCGTCGTCATGGGTTCGTACCTGAACAAGCCGAAAACCGACAAGGAATCCGAGGACTTGGAGAACGACCTGCTCATGTGCGGCGTCAGTTCAATGCAGGGCTGGCGCGAAAAACAAGAGGTGAGTACAACTTGAAGCGCGAGTGGTCCACTTAGTGGTGGTGGTCGGGAGGTCGGGCGCGACTCGACGACCGGTGTTCGTGCGCGCCGTGCCGGGACGTCGGCAGCACGCCTTCCGATTCGTACCTTCGAGCCTCTCGGCGACTCTGAAGGTTTAACTGTTGTGTTGTCTCTGCAGGACGCCCACGTCTGTTTGGTGGACTTCGACGATGACATGTCGCTCTTTGGCGTCTTTGACGGACACGGCGGCGCTGAAGTGGCGGAGTATGCCGTTGAGATGCTGCCTTCACTGATCAAAAACGAACTGTTCGAACAAGGTGAATACGAAAAAGCACTGATCAAGGCTTTCATGGATTTCGACGACAGTCTGATTGAACCGCCAGTATTAAGGAGGCTGAGAACTATTCGATTGAAAAACGGCAAAACAGAAGAGAGTGGTAAGTACCTAAACACTGTAATTATTATTCTTTATTTGTTATGACTGTAGAATACAAACTATTATTGATATTCACCACCAAAATCATATTAAATAAAACAGTTTAATAACTAAATTGCATATTATTCTGATATGAAATAAAATATTTAATATTTAATCGTACAATATATTATATATTTTTTTTTAATTCAGGGGAGAAAATGTTAACATGGATTCTAAATTTTTTTGGTACGTTCATTTTGATCACAACGCACTTATGAATTTTACCTAACCATTAAACAATAAGTACATACCAATAGGCACTTATTAGAGAATGTTTTATAAACCATTAAACTGCTACTATTTGAATGAATTACAATTTTTAAATATTTATTAGGTTTACCTACAATTATTGTGAAAAATCGTCATTAGATTTCTGGAAAATCTACTCATTATAATTTGTTTATAGGTTTTTGGCTCCTATGGGCTCTGGTCATATTTTAATTGAACATTAGTTTTTTCATCTAATAGCTATATAGGTAGCGCAGTAGCTAATGGTTAATCACAGGTGTGCGTCCAAAGTATGTATAGTATGCCACTGCGGACTCCAAGAAAGAACCCATTTATCAACTTGCAGTCTTTTTGTCTTAAGGAACTCAATATTTTTAAATTTATAATTTTGTTTAAAAAAAATAGCCATGGACATAGATACTTATTATAGAAATGATTGACAATTTCAAAATGCTGTAAATATTTTTTTTATAAAAAGTTACTAACATTTTATATTTTAATGACAATAATTTATAATTTTATAACTGCACCTTTTTTTGTTAAAGAGGAGATGGGCCCTATTTTAAATTTTGCATGCTCTGCCAATGAGGTCTGCTCACGCCTATAGTGATAACTTAATTATGAATTTTACTATATAACTTTTTATTTTGCATTGAATTCAAATCCATAAACATTAAGTAAATACATGGTTCAATTGACTATGTCATTTTAATCTATAGTTATATAGTTGTAATTTATTAACAATAGGTACATTAATATAAAAAAGAATAGCAGATCAATCATTTGATACTCTATCAAAATAAAATCAACATTTTCAAAAATGTATTTAATATTAGGGTTGATGTCATATAACAAAGTTAACAAATTGTCATTTATAGATGTATTGAACATACATAGTATGCATTATAAATAATTATTATTTGCTTAATAGGTGATTATAATTTTGTAAATTTAACTTTAATAAATAATATTTATTATTTTTATTTCTTTTAGATAATGGCGATGTAGATGACAAAAAACTTGTTGAAACGGAATTGGTAATATATTATAATATTTAAAAATTTTTGTGTTAATACAAGCAATATTATTTTTTATCAAAATGTCAGATTTAACTAAGCACACACAGGATTTCACAAGCCAAACCATTAAATTTAAATTTTGTTTAAGATTCAAAAATCATTGGTTTCAGTATGTAGGTAGGTACATAGTACAGTTTTTATTATTCAACTCCTAATCAGGCAATAATATAAAGTATACCCTGTCTCAAAAGAAAACGATCACTTTTTTTGCATTGTGAATGATGCATGTCAGCTGACTGATTATTTTCTTTTGAGACTGAGTATACAATTAGTAAATGAAAAATTGTGTAATATATAATTTTATTTTATTAAAATGAATAACCACTTAGTGCCTAAAAAATGTAATATTACATTTATGACAGATTCAAGGTTCAAGCAGTTTGAAACATATTATTTTAAACATTTTTTTTTTTTTAATTTTCACTTCAATATGTAATAAATTTCAAATTTTTGTTTCAATATGTAATACATTTTGAATTTTGTCAAAATATGTAAAAAAATGCAATACCCAATATAGTTTGCAGGAATATTTAAAAAAAAATTGCATTATATTCAGACTATTGGAATTCATAAAGGTTACTAACATAAAAGTAAAAAGGAAAAAATATGCAATTGCATAAAAATCCGCGCTCTAGTAATAACTTTATAGCATTATAATAGTTAAAACAAATTAATATTTTCAGGCTGGAAAAGACAGTGGTTGTACAGCAGTTGTAGCTTTATTGGTAAAAAATAAGCTTTATGTGGCGAATGCGGGGGACTCTAGATGTGTGGTGTCCTTTGCCGGAAAAGCCCATGCGATGTCAAAAGATCATAAGCCTAAGGATAAATCTGAGTTGAAGAGAATTCTTGCAGCCGGTGGAAGAGTTTCAAGTGATGGACGAATCAACCATGGTCTTAATATGTCTCGAGCTTTAGGTGAAAATTTGTTGTGTATTTTAAAGTTAATTAAAAATATAAACAATGTTCAATTATTTTTAGGTGATCATATGTACAAGACAAATAGTTTATTTCCAAATACCAAGCAAATGATTACTGCTCTACCTGATGTACAAGTCATTGACTTGACACCAGAAAATGGCGATTTTATAGTTTTAGCGTGTGATGGTATTTGGAACTCGTTGTGCAGTCAGAAAGCAGTTGATTTTATATCAAATCGTATTCACTGTCCCGACATCAAATTATCATCAATTTGTGAAGAAGTAATCATAATAGTAATTAATCATTAGCTCAAATCCCAAGAGTGCTTGAATTTAAATGCCAGCACCCCGAATCTCGTGATATTCTTAAATAATAATTATAAATCTGGGGCACATACCACTATCATGGGTTCAGATAAGCTATCAATGCTATCCACACAGAAAGAGATATGGGTAGTCCTTAAAAATGTAACTTTTTAAAGGGGGCTCTATTTAAAATAAACATGTTGAAAAATAAGTGTTAACTGTAATTACATATTTCTAGTATAATTTCGGTGAAACTTCAAATTAACAAAATATTCTGTTTGTTTAACTAAATATTGTTCAAAACCAAGTACCCATAGTACAAATTTATTTTTCGTAGTTCTTGAGACCATGAGTGTAATATGGAAGTTTCACTGTACTTATTGTATAACTTAAAAAAAAAACTTAATTTGTTTTGCATAAATTGTTATAACTATGGTTCTGAATTGAATTCAGTAAAACCCTTAAAAAATGTTTTATATATTTTATAATAATCTAAAAATAAAGCATTTTCCTACAAATTCACAATCCTCTTCAATATTGATTCAAATCTTTAATTGATTTTATTAATGGACGTATCAAATTTAACGGATATAAGGAGTGCTTGTTTCCCAAAAATATTCTTGTGCTGAGCCCCCCCCCCCCTAATATTGTTCTGTGATTTGCACCTAATTACTTAATTATCTAGAATATATTATTTATCAATATCATTAACTTTTTGGTTTAGTTATTTGAAGTATGTTTGGCCCCTGATACACCAAATGCTGGAGTTGGCTGTGATAACATGACTTGTATCATTGTGAAGTTCAAACATCACCAGAAACGTTCACTTACGGATGATGTAGAAGAAGAAGAATCTGATCTCGTTACTGACTGTAAGAAACCTAAATTGGATGTGACAGCACCTGAATCTGTAGAGTAATATTGCATCTAACCTTCAACTTATCCGTGAGTCACACGCATGTGACATATTTAATTAAATTTCTCTCTTGATTTGTTATAAGATTAATGTAGACAAATTATATTGTATTTTTCATGATTTAAACTTCAATTTTATTAGAGTGAATTTTATTTATTTTAAGTAACTAAAGTTTTAATTACTTATAATTAATTTATTTACAATAATATAATATATTATATTATGAGGATGCTATGCCCGCATGATGTGTTGTTTCTGTCACTCTAATATTAAACATTTGCTACAAAATGTGCTATGTTGTTATTCATCTGTAAGATGGAGTTAACTCATGCGGTTATTTATCAAGGAGATGCTATCTGTGGATTAGTTATTTCTTGTTTTTATTTTTATACATAATTATTATGTAATTTTATATTATATACCTAGTCAATTTAAAAAGTGTTTTTTTGTTGTTTAATTTAAATAATGCAAATCGATTGTCTGAGATAAAATAAATAACGTAAAGAGTGATCCAACAATATTCTAAATAAATTTAACAATTAGGCATATTTAATACTTTAATATTAAAAATGAAAAAACTGAGTCAACATTTTCCCCAGTGTATAGCATTCTCATAATTTAGTTATTCATAAGACTTAATAATAAGTTATGTTTAAGTTTTGATTATTGTTTTATTGATATAAGGTTAATTTATTATTAAGTCCATTGTATTTTATATACAGGGTGATCTGTGTCCAGTACTACATTCATTTTAAGGTTTTTAACATGTCATTGTCTTTTGCGATAGTCATGAATTAGGTAATTTAATATAATAACTTACAAATTAAATTGATACATTACTAAATAGCATAGGTAATTAGTTAAATTAGTAAATCGTAATAACTTTTTTTTTTTACTGAAGTTTAATTATTTATAGTTAAACAATTTTGGTCATAAGCTTTATTAATCTAGTTAGTTAACACAGAGCTGTTGAGTGTTTTTATAAATTTTTTTTTATTGAGTACAATTTACTTGATTTTTTTATTTGAATTAATATTAATATGGCTTAGTGATTGCTTAAAAGAATACATACGCACACCAATGTTTAATATTATACTGAACTTGTCATTGGTGACACTAAGCATTTCGCTTACATTTTTGTTATTTAAGGAACCATTGGCTTATAATTAATTTGTTTATAGATGTTTTTAGTATGCCCATACAAGATACTAATAGAAATAAATATTTAGAAAATATCTAATTTATAAATGAACCTTATACCAATCTTTCTTCCATCATACTGATCGACTTAGTAATGCGATAATGCTTTTTAAAACTGATTTGGATTCGTTATTATGTCTACTTATGATTGGTCAGTCCAAACTTTTCCCAATTTCACCTTCCAACAATAATTTAATATGTGAGCGAACACTAAAATGTCATTAACGATGTGAAAATATTAATGTCACTGATGACGGGTTAAAATAACACAAATTTTTTTTATACATATTGTATACAATATGTTTTTGGTATTTCATAAAAAATACATGCATTTTCATAATATTTAAACACAAGATTTAATTTGTTTATTATTATATTTTAATCAAACACTAGCATTATAATAAGGGCCTATTTTAGAAATAATATTCACCAACTCTAGAATACATTTTATTTATTACTGTAATGTGTATACTTTATTCAAAATAAGATCGGTAATCGGCAGCCAACTTGTGCGCAGTGACGTAGCTTTGTTAAAAAGCTTTGGCCATGCCGTCGAATAGGTGGAGGAAATGTCTGACAGTACGTCGGACACCCGTGGACAAAAACTTGTCTATAACGACTACCATTCTTGCTATGAATAGAGTATATGCACGAAGCCATTACTCCCACATGCACTTGCAATTCCATTTACATTTAAATGTAATTATGTTCTTGATTTTTAATTGTGTGTACATATTAATAGTAAGTTTTGAGCCTCACAACTAAAGAAAAACTAATTTTATAAGTACAATTTTACAAATAATGATACTGGTGTAACATTACCTGTTTAAAACAGTGCAAATGCAAATATAAAGTATGGTGAATATTCTACTTTGTACTCACTGTTATGAATTATAAGGGCTCAGAAGTCTGATTTTTTTTCATTAGACGATGCTTTCAAAATAAAGTTTGTTTCAATCTAGATTTGAAAATCTTATCAACATAACCTATATTAAGTATTTTACAAAATTTTTTTTATTTCAATTAATTTTAAACAAATTTCTACAATTGAAAGAAAAATCACCACGTTTGTTGAATTCAGAATAAAAAAAAAAATAATTTTTTATTATTTTAAAACCATTGACGAAAGATTTGAACATTGTTAACATAAAAAAAATATTAATATTAACTTTCATCAATATAAAACTATACTACTAATTAATTATTTTGTATTTTATTATTTCTTGTAAACATTTATTGATTTATTAAATGTAATGCATTAATAGAAATGGAAAAAAATATTAATATTGGTATATACTAAACATTTTTTGTCATTGAATTCCGAGCCCTATAAATTACTAATTGTTTTTTTTTTTTGTGTGTGTGTGTGTGTACCAGAGGAAGAATATAATGTTTTATGTATTACTAATTTAATATTTATTATTAAAAAAAAAAAAAATAGAGATTAAGATTTTATTTAAAACAAAAAATGTAATATTGTCAAAATATGTCATATTTATTAATATTTCAAAACATAGAAATGGTTTTAACTTATAAAATTTATTAAACATTTTATGTAGTATTAGTAATTAATATTATAATCAAATATATTAAGACCATAATATTATATTCTATCTGTATAAGTATAAAACGTAATTTTGCTTACATAAAAATATATGATAAATAATGAACTAAACGGTTTAATAGCTTTTATATTTAAAATGTAAAAATATTCAATTATCAATATAATTATCAATATATCAATTTAAATTTCTTTAATTATTATATTTCAATGATGAATTGGCACTTCAAACAACTTCTTGATCTTCACTGAGATTTTGTCCGTTTTTGTGGTCCTTTTTCGTGGTCATTTTTTCTTTTTTTTGAAATGTCTTCCTCCGAATTGTCATTACATTCAATTAACTTTATTTCTCGTTCATCAGAATTTTTATCTGCGTCATTTTCACTTTTTTGTTCATTGTCTTTCGGCAACAGAGCATCTTTAATCATATTTTCCCCTAATTCTAGTTCTTCAGGCTTGTCATCAGTAACAGTTGTATCTTTGTCACCGTCATCAGTAACAGTTGTATCTTTGTCACCGTCATCATACTTTTTTCTCACAACATTTATTGTTATGGTATTATCATCTTCTGTATCAGAGAGCGTTATTAAAGGAATGTCATTCTCCTCAATATTAGAAACATTGTCAATCTCTTTAGGTTTATTAATGGCTCCACTGTCCTTCTCCCTTTTGTTGTTCTCCACAATGACAATATTCTCGTTCTCATTTGAGTTATTCATCATATTAGAAATATCATTCTCTGCTTTTTTTTCAATAGTATTTTCAGCATCTTTTTCCTTATGTTGTTCGTGATGTGCGGTTTTCTCAATAATTTTTTCTAGAATATTATTTAATGTAAGTTTTTCTTTCTCTTGATCATCTTTTTCTAGAGGTTTTGCCTCAGTAAAAGTTGTATCATTGTCACCACCGTCATTCTCTTTTTTCACAACTTTAATTGTTATGGTATTATCATCTTCTTCATCATCTAGAATTATTAATGGAATTTCATTCTCCGCATTAGAAACATTGTCAATCTCCTTAAGTTTATTAATGGCTCCATTGTCCTTCTCTGCTATATTTTTGTTTACTTTGTCGTTGTTTTCATCATCTATCTCCATAAGATCCATCTCTTTTTTGTTCTCTGCTAAATTATTTTCTAAGTCTCCATTCAAATCTTTTTCTTCATTATGACCCTCTTTTTCTTTTTTTTCTTCATCTTGGAGTTTTATTAATGGAATTTCCTTCTTCACATTAGAAACATTGTCAGTCTCCTTCAGTTTATTAATGGCTCCATTGTCCTTCTCCGATGTATTCTTGTTTACTTTGTCGTTGTTTTCATCGTCTATCTTCATAAGTTGTTTATTCTTACAATCATCCATCTCTGTTTTGTCATTCTCTGCCAAATTATTTTCAAAGTCTCCATTCAAATCTTTTTCTTCATTATGACCCTCTTTTTCTTTTTTTTCTTTATCTTGGAGTTTTATTAATGGAATTTCCTTCTTCACATTAGAAACATTGTCAGTCTCCTTCAGTTTATTAATGGCTCCATTGTCCTTCTCCGATGTATTCTTGTTTACTTTGTCGTTGTTTTCATCATCTATCTTCATAAGTTGTTTATTCATCATGTTCTCATTCTCTTTTTTCACAACTTTAATTGTTATGGTATTATCATCTTCTTCATCATCTAGAATTATTAATGGAATTTCATTCTCCGCATTAGAAACATTGTCAATCTCCTTAAGTTTATTAATGGCTCCATTGTCCTTCTCTGCTATATTTTTGTTTACTTTGTCGTTGTTTTCATCATCTATCTCCATAAGATCCATCTCTTTTTTGTTCTCTGCTAAATTATTTTCAAAGTCTCCATTCAAATCTTTATCTTTTTTTTCTTCAGATTCAATATTAGTTGTCATCATTACTTCTTCCGACATGGTTGAATTTAAAATCTAAAAAAAAAATATTAAGAAAATATAAAATATATTTTTTTATTAATAGAAAAAATTGCTAAACTGGTTTTCTATGTCTCATACTGTGTTTTTGATAACTTATGAGGGACCTTGTATTAAATTATCAAGCCTTAGCTAAATAAAATATAACAAAAAGTATCAACTACAAAATTATTTCAAGTTTCTATGATTAATAATTTTTGAATTATGACAAAAAATCTAAAATCAATTAATTAGAAATTGTTTTTTTTTCTTGTTAATATCCAATTACAAAGTAATTTTAATATTTTAAATTATGTGAACTCAAAATCACAGAAATTATGTTTAAATGTTTATATTTAAACCTTTAAATAATAAAAAAGATAGTCAAATGTTACTAGAAAACTCCTATAATTTTAGTTTTAATTACATACAAATAGAATATTTTCCGTATAAATGAATAAGTACAATAATTATTACTGTCGTACAAACTTCAAACAATTATTATACCTAAGGATTGTTTTTATCACCTAACTCAAAGACCTCACAAACATACCAAAGTTGGGTTTTGAAAACCGATATTATAAAGCCCAGACCTAAGAAACATTTGTTGTCGACGATGTTTCTGATTTTCGTCATAAGTGGTAACTAAAAACTTTGTGGACAACAATGTTGAAAACAGATGTTTCTTAATCTGGATGGAGCTTAATGTGTATTGTTGTATGATCAATGAACAAGAATTTCTCCCAGCAGAGTTTGTTGATCGTCCCCGTTCATGCAAAACACACTAAGTCCAAAAACATGATTTTTGAGTATGAGCTTTTGCAATTTTTCCAATCTATAATTCCATATTCTGCGTATTAAGGAAAACATCGAATGGACTTAGTTAACATTTTGAATTGTATATTAAACATCTTTAAATAATATTGGGACTTAGTTGAATACAGAATATTGTAGATATTTTCAAACTGAATTTTATATGACAATAAACCGGAAAACCCGATTTTTGGACTTAGTGTGTTTTGCATGAACGGGGACGTGATGATGGTATGGTAAAGGGACTTAGGCTGTGCCAGTTGGAGCTGAAGATTTACTTTAATATTTTGATCATACATAGCAGGTAGATAAATTACACTCATCCGACCTTTATACATAATATGGTTCTAACTAAATCATCTAACCATTTGGAAACTTATAACTGAAAATAGGTATGCAATAAATGCAGGCCGCTCAAAATTAGCGTACAACAAACTGAGCTAGCAATCGATACATAGGAGAACATATTTAAAAAAAAAAGCTTAAGCCCTCGTTTTGGAGAAGAGAAAATGAGTACCTAGGACTTGAAGAATTTGTAAAAGCTTTACCTAACTAGAAATACTAATATACATTAATAAAATATTAAGAATACGTCGCACCCGGATGTGTTGTATCCGTCTTACACACGGACGGCATCGCAAATTTTCGTTCGATAGTTTCAATAGTGTGCTGTCTGTTTTGATATTGAGAGTGAATGGTCAAATCATCAAACTTTTAGGTAACAACATTATTTGTGTTCTCTCGTCGGTTGTTTACGATATTTTAATTTTTAAGTGAATTATGAGCATTTCGAAATATTAATGTTTCACATACCTACTTACTCATAAGTAATTACCTAATTCACTCGAATATCCAAAATGACAGCACCCTATTGTAACAACTAGGTACCTATAGCGAACGAAAATTTGTTACGTCGTAGGTACGTGTGCAAGACGAACACAACAACACGTGCAGTTGCGGCGGCGGCATCCTCTTGATGCAGGGTTGCATGAAAAATCACTAAACAAATTTTATTTTATTGAATGAGACGACGGTCCCTCGATTTGATGGCCCATCATATTTCGCCGATGAGCCGTTATTAAATTAATTGATTTTTCATCCAACCCCCCCGGCACAAGTCCCTACTGTAATTTAACAAAAAACGTGATGTTTACCTCTTCGGTTGTATGGTGCAGCGTGTACTTGCCGGCCACGGGCAATCGTTTGTAAAAATGAAAAGAAAATGTTTTTAATTTAGGTAATTAAAAATAATCAAAAACCTTGAGAAACGTGTTCCATAAAAAAGTGACCAGTGACCACAGACGACAATGACGGCCGGTCAGCAGTGCGTTGCAAAATGAAGAGTTCAACAGTGCGTACCACCGCGTCGGCGACGCGTTGCCGCCATCGGCCCTAACCCCCTCACCCTCCGACCAACGACCACGTCCCTGGTGGCAGACGCCACCGGCCGAGCGCCATTTTCCTCGGGGTTCGCGTCCAATAACGGCCAATTGGCAACAATCAATATCCTACGTGTTGAGTTCTCGTTCGCCGCCCCTCGCCGTTCGCTTTCCACTCCATGACCGACCGTCGAGCACAGCAATATTGTTCCATGATTACGGGTCACCGTCTATGAGGGTAACCGTTGACCGGGTATCCTGTGCTCACAATATCTACGGTCCCTGATAGACATCACGATTGTTTACGTCCCGACGCCCGGCTCGCCACTATCCCTCAAATGACCGGCTTTTTTCTCGAATATTATTCAGAATCTTGCGTTGGACATCATCCGTCGCCGTCGCACATCTATCAGAAATAGAATAGTCACTCGGGTGACGTCGTCTTACTCACTCTCACGCACAATGGCCGTACGTCGGGAGAGAGGCGACGGGCTGCCCGACCGCTTCTTGCACATCCAGTACGAGTCCACCAAAGGTGTTGAAGTGCTGTCCGGCTTCGACCAGATGAACCTCCGGGAAGACCTCATCCGAGGCATATACGCGTACGGTAAGTCTCGTCTAACCCCGCCGCCTCTGCCCGATGTATACTAATACCTTTTGTTGTTTAGGTTTTGAACGACCCTCGGCCATCCAACAGCGCGCCATAAAGCCGATCGTCAATGGACACGACGTTATAGCTCAAGCCCAGTCCGGCACTGGCAAAACGGCCGCGATTTCCATTGCCATGTTACAGTCCGTCGACATGCAGCTCAAAGACACACAGGCGTTGTGTCTTTCGCCGACCCGAGAGCTGGCCGTACAAATTCAGAAGGTTTGTGTCTTTTGAACGCCGAGTGTTTTTCACCCTATTCGTCGTGACAATGTTGTGTAATACCGAGTGCAACAATAAATTATAAGTATAACAAGTCTAAGTGACCCAGCCGAGTTCATGATTTTTTCTTGAATTCATATCAAACCGTTTAACGATAAAATGTCATTTTAATATGTATACATTTATATTGTAAAATATTCTGTTTTGAGGCCTTTTTTATAATGGGCCCTGCACTAGCAAGAATTGTGTCTTACACTTGTAGGATATACCTAGTAGGTAATAACTTATTTCCGTATTTAACTCATGATTAGGTATATTATTGAAATTAAAATGTATCATTATAATATCTATTATAACAGTTTTAACGTAAGAACACACACAGAGAGCCTATAGCACTCTTATAAAGAATAATATTATCTGGGTTTTGTTAAATTCTAATACTAGGGCACTATAGATCGGTACTAGGTATGCTATGCCACCATTTTGCGACTAATAATATTATGTGAATATGAATTTCCCCCACCCCTCTTTATTTTATCATTGATAAATGATTCGCAAAATGGTTACATAGCATACCCATTATATGTAGAGCCTTACTAATACTAAAATTTGTTTTTAATATATTGATTTTTAAGATAATTTTGTTAGTATTTAATTGTTTAGTTATTTATAATTATAAGTAGCTTTCTCAAAAATAAAAATATTAAAAAGAAGCTTCTGACAAAACAAATAATATTATTATTTATAATACCTTTATTTCATCAATGTAATTTTGACAATGAATGAAAAACGGAAATAGTTTTAACTATATTACATTCATATACATACAATCATAAAAATGTATGGGTTTGCCCTCTTAATTATAATATTCTCAATAATTTTTTTGAGATAATTTTTTTAATTAGTTTTAAATATTTATGTCAACATTTAATGTAATAATTGTAAATTTTAAAAGCTGTTGGACATAATATTGTTTATTTTAGATAAATTATTATCTTTGACTCTAATACCAAATGTAAATTAATTTTGAAATCTCCACTACATGTTAATGTTTTCTGATATTGTTAAAATATTATTATTAATAACATTAAATACTTTATAGGTACCTACCTACTTTGATTTTAAATAATTAAAACCAATTTAAATGCCATTTATCATTAAATTAAATCATTCATAATCAATTTTCTTTATTTTAGTTTCTTATAATGATAGCTTAGCTTAGAACTTAAGTAATTTATTAATCAAATTAAATTATTATTTAGGTAGTCTTAGCATTAGGAAATTATTTGAATGTTCATTGTCATGCTTGTATTGGTGGTACCAACCTTGGTGAAGACTTGAGAAAACTGCATTTTGGTCAGCACATTGTTTCTGGAACTCCTGGACGTGTGCTTGGTATGTATAATATAGCATTGATATTAAAAAAACATGTTAATTAACTATAATTTATTGTTTTCACAGATATGATAAGACGTAAAACATTGCGTACAAGTAACATAAAAATGATTGTGTTAGATGAAGCAGATGAAATGTTGAACAAAGGATTCAAGAGACAAATATATTATATACATCGATTTTTGCCACCAAATACTCAAGTATGATTAAACTTCACATTATTTTTGATTCAGTTCAAAATGTTTTATGGTTTTTTTTTTTTTTATTATAATGTCCCCAGCATCTATGGCTACTGGATGTAACAATACATTACAGAATAATGTTTTCTAGTTTTATTTATTTCTTTAGGTGATTTTAATATCTGCTACAATGCCAAATGAAGTATTAGAAATTACCAATAAATTCATGACCAATCCTATTAGGATATTAATCAAACGGTTTGTATACATATATTTTTAAGAGACAAAAAGTCAAACATAACATATAACTATTAATTATATTTTTAGTGATGAACTGACTCTCGAAGGTATAAAACACTTCTTTGTAGCAGTTGAATGTGAGGAATGGAAATTTGACACATTATGTGATCTTTATGATTCTCTAACAATAAGTCAAGCATTCATTTTTTGTCGTACAAAAAGGAAGGTTAGTGATTTGATATAAAAAAAATGAAATTATTACTAACCTTTACCTCATTATTATTGTCTATTTAGGTGAATTGGCTCTCTGAGAAGATGAGGGCATCTAATTTCACCGTCAGTTCAATTCATGGAGATATGCCACAAAAAGAGAGGGATGCAATAATGAAAGAATTTCATTCTGGACAAACGTAAGTGTTTCCTAGCTTTAAGCAGTTATTAGGCTATATCAACTTTAAGGACTATATTATCAGAGGTATTTAAACTTTTTCTACAACTGACATTTTGTGTCTTAAGATTACAGGTTTATGTTGTTTCTGTCTTACAGATGTACAATATGGCAAATATTACATTCACAATAATACATTTTACTGTCATTTATAAAATTAGAGTTTTATAGGTAAGATTGTTATCTATGGCATCATGTAGTCTTTTGTTGATGATTTTTTTTAAGAAACTTATTATAACCATTTTTAAGCTGTAAATTTTAAAATGATCATAATTTACTTAAAATTAATAATATCGATAAAATCTTCCGAGATGCCCTAGATAATATTCTTACCTTTAAATTGTATAAGAGGTAAATTTACTCTAATTTCAGAAATTAGAGAGTAAAATGTTTTATAGTACACGTAAAATGTACGTATTGTACATTTATAAGACGAAGATAACCAATGCCGGTGTGGCATAACTATATTTAGACGATTCCCGAATTGTGTATGACATCAAGAATAATGGTTATATTATATATGTATGTAAATGTAGTATATTATATTTTGAATGAATTGTAGTTTAATTAATTAAACACTTCGCCATGGTATTACTAAGTATATTTTATGATATTATTGTGAATAAATAAATTCATGTATTTCCGTGGAACCTTCTATTTCATAGAAGCTGTTTAGATGGTAATATAAGAATCGCGGCAGTAAAATGGTTCGGACTCAATGACGATAATTCCGCAGGGTGGCCGGGCCCTAACAAGAAGTATAGCAAGTTCACTGTTAAATGTTGTGTTGAACGCATTAGTGTTTTGACGGTTATTGATGATAAGGATAACACAATATAAATTATACAAATAAAACATAAAACACCAATATTTTTTTATTACCTACTATAGTTATTCGACGATGTCGGCATGCGAAAATTCTAAATTATTTATATTTCTAAATTTATCTCATCGTCATAACTTCTTCGGTCCAGCCTATAATACTGCCACTGTTATAATACCGTAATATATGTGAGGTATCGTTCATAATTTGTGTTTGTGTTAAGGATACACTGGAAATAGTATTTATGATTTATTGATGTCTGAGTGTGCCTCAGAAATTATTTCTACCATAGGCTTACAGCGACGCCACTGATGCTACTTGTGTTTGTAAGACCAAGTGGTATGCTTAAAATATATATCTCGTATTAAGTCAAGTTTTTGGATTAGTTTTCTTTTATATATTATATTATTATATTTACAATACTTTTTTATAAATATTTGCAGGAGAGTTTTAATCACTACAGACATTTTGGCTCGTGGCATTGATGTTCAACAAGTTTCATTGGTCATAAATTATGATTTACCGAACAGTCGAGAACTGTATATACACAGGTAATTTATTTGTATAGAGTTCTACCACAGAACAATATAGAAACGACACTAGTTTACCTGATTGGGCCATCGCATATCTAGGATATTGAGTATTGGATTCCAAAAGTTGAAATTGTATCTGTAATCTATTAAGATATTGGTAATGTGTATCTCTCTTTGTTACAAAAATAGAAACTCTGTAGTAATTGGCAGTATTATAATCTTGTTTAAGAGACGTTACACTGAAGTGTGTTGTCTCCTTCTTACAGGTGCGTAACATAGCACTCAGCAGATCATGTTTAACTCTATTAGTAAAAATAAGAGTAAATTTAATCTTATAAAATGTAAAGATAAGATCATTATCTAAGGCTTCTCATAAATTCTTCTTAAATTTAAAGCGATTTATGAGTATTTTAAAATTGTAAATTGTGTGTATATCATAAAATACTCATAACTCGTTTTAAAATTAAAATATAACAAACATCCTATGAAATGCCCTAGATAATAATCTTATCTTTAAATTATATAAGAGGTAAATTCTCTCTAATTTTTAAACTATAGAGTTAAATATAATCTGCTGAGCTTAAAATTTGCTATGTAATGCACTTGTAAGACGGACACAACAAATGCCGGTGTTATGTCCTCTTAAGTACAGTGATTATTTACAACTTACAAGTAATTAATTGTATGTTTTAAAATGAATATCAAATAAAATATTATCCTGTGGTAATATTTATATATATTTATATCATGATCTTATTAGCTCGTGGTAACTATAGCACACCTCCCTGGATGATAGCTATTTTTTCCCATATTTAAGGCCACTATTGCACAATTTTGCCAAGGCATTGTGTCTACCCTTAAGCCTGATACTACAATAGGCACATGAAATATTTCTACTGTTGTCAGATAAGAAAACAGATCGCATTGATAGATATAAGCAGCAAAATAAATTTGTCACAAAATCTATGTCTTACAATAAGTAGTAATAAGCTCAACATTTATTTTTCTACTAACTTTTAGTCTTTAGATATACTTATTTATTCATATTGTCTATTATACTATATACATTTTTTGTTTATTTCTTTTTTTAGGATTGGCCGTTCTGGAAGATTTGGTCGCAATAGTGTTGTAATTAATTTTGTTAAGCTCGAAGATATTACAATTTTACGTGATATTGAACAATATTATTCAACACAGATTGATGAAATGCCTATGAATAGTGAGTAACAATATTGTTTGTTTTTTGTGTAATTGATTAACAATATGGATACTTCGGATACATACCTATAAGAGGACGCTACTCGGACATTTGTCTTTTTTGTCTTAAAAGTGTGCATCATAGCAAATTGTATGCTCAGCAGATCACGTTTAGTTCTGTTAGTTTAACAATTGGAGTTAATTGACCTTTAATGAAACTCGATGGTAAGAACATTATAATATGTGTTATCATACATTGTTTTTTTACAAAAGTTAAATTGTTTAGTAACTTATGCGTACATAACATAGCGTAAATTAGAAATGCTCATAATTTGCTTAAAAACAGAATAACCGTAAAAAACAAACATACAAATACAGATAACGTTCTTACCATCAAGTTTTATAATTGGTCGATTCACTCTAATGTTTAAACTAACTTAGATAAACGGAATCTGCTGAGCGTAAATTTTCTGTTATGCACTTGTAAGACGGAGAAAACACATGGGTGTGGCATCTTCTTAGAATATGATAAAAAGCTTATGAGATACCCTAGATAATAATCTTATCTTAACATTTTATAAGAGATAAATTCACTCTAATTTTTAAGCGAATAGAGTTAAACGTGAGCGAAAAATGTACTATGTTACACAATTTTAAGACAGAGAGAACAAAATATGGATGTGTAGCGTCCTCTTAAGAAATACTAATGATTATGTACATGTCTATTTTTAACTGAATTTTGTATTTGTAATGGTTACGAACATTTACATAGCATATTGTCAACATTTTAATAATATTGTTATTATTTTCAGTTGCTGAAATGCTTTGAAGACCCACAATCCAGCCTAATATTTTTGATACCGTCAAATAGTTCAACTTGGGACATGAGTTAATTTTGAGACAGAACAATTAATTTTACAGTAATTCCTTGTGGATGCACGGTATTTGAAATAATCATTTTTTTATCATTGTTTTTTTAATCCTTAAGGAAAGACTGGTGTTTATTTTATTTTATTAACACATGTTTTATTTACGTTTTTTTTCTATAAATATACAAATACTTTGTTAAAACTAAAATTGATTGAATTTTTTTTTCCAATTACCACAGAACTACATTTTTAAAAAGTTTTTATGTGTGATTGGCATTGAAAACATGATTTTGAAGCATTCTTAGTATACTGGTCCAAGTTGTAGCACACTGCGTTCAACTTGGGAAAAAATAAAAATATATAATCAAGTAAAACTAAAATATTAAAAACTATAAAAGTGTTAATAAGCAATCTAAGAGTAATGAACTAATGCATATTGTTCATGTACAAATATGCAGTATTTGGTAAATTACTTTTAAAAAGTAATACAAGTTACATTTAATATTTTTATTTAAATTACATTCGTTTTATCCAGTATTACTTTTATCACATTACGTTACTTATTCTTTCCAAAAAGTAGGGCATTACAAAGAATATTACTTTTTTTTTTTTAAATTAATTACCTACAAAAACAGTGTATAACGACTAATAAGTAATGGTATAATGTTTTACTTTATAGCGTTATACTCTTATACAAATAAATGGTTTAGAATTTAAGTATAACATTGATGATGTAGGTTAATGACTTAATTTTACAAATAAACAGAATGTACAAATATTAATTCCTGGGATATTTAATAATTAACAATATTAATATAATTTTGCTATAGTAATATGTGTTATGGAACTAGCCAACACTGTGTTAGGTTGTTACTAAAATAATGCAATGGTCAAGCAATAAAAGAAAAAAATAATTTTAGAACATTATAATGTACATTTTATAACTTAATTATAACATCAATCATGACATCACACATAATAAGTATTTTAAATATTATGTCCATCGCAACAATTAAAATATGTGATGGTTAAATTTATATTCCGATGGTGAAATGGCTTATAGCAGAGGTATTCAAATTGTGGGTCGTGGCTCCGAGGGGCGGCGTTTTAAGAAGAGGAAAAAAACAACAATGAAAGTTAATATTATATTGTTTTATTCTAAGCATAAAATATTTGATTTTAGTTCTCCGATAATATTTTCTTTCTGTGACCACAATAATTTGAAGGTCCCCACTAAAGAGCTGTGAAATGAAAATGTTTGAATACCTCTGGCTTATAGGATTAAGTTTTAGGGGTAATTTTATAACCTGTCCAGTTCATCTTCGCACTCGGCAACCATTACAAATTTAAAACTGGTGAACAAAAACTATATTATATTAAAAAATATATCATAAATATTTATAATGCAATACCAACTTAAACGATCGAATATTGATGAAATGAAGAAAATTATAAGAACATATTTACTTAATATAATAACTTATACCTAAAATACGGATTTTGAAGCACTAAAAAATTATTTCAAAAGCTTAAAACATAATAGGTTTTAAAATAAAATATTATCTATACAATGTTTACACTATTTAATGTTGCTGTACTTTTTCTTTTGATGGATAATCTGAAATTTAATTAACTGTTTTAAATAATTTATAAAAATAAATAACATTGTTTCCATATATCCTTTAAGATGCATTGAACAATTAAAGGTGTTTTAATTTCCAAACAAAATCTTTGTCCACTATCTCACAGAGTTAAATTTCAATTATATTTAAAATTTGAAAAACATTAATACCACAAGTATTTTTTTAAATAATTAGTAGACTAAAATTGGTTAAAGCCTGTAAAAAAATAAGTATAAAAAAAAGCATAAAATCCAAAATTAACACAAAAAAAACAAATTAAAATTATGTATATTTATTCTATTATTATGAATCACATTTATAACTAATTAAGTTAGTTTTTAACTGATCAAATTGCCATCAAAATCCGTACTTATAACTTAATGTTATTTCAATTTGATGACTACAAATTTATTATTTTTATATAGTACTGTAACAATGGTTATAGTGAATTTATGAACCCATTATCTGTGATGTTACTCAAGGGAATGGGTAATACAATCTATACCTTGCATATGCTATTGTTTGTATTTATATGAAAATGTGTTTGTAAACATACATTCAAAATTTTATTTTTAGAAAACTGTATTAACAAGTAACAATTTATAGTTCATCTAAAGAGAGTGATTGGAAAATTTTCAGTCACCAAGTGTTCGTCTACAAAAATAACAGAAACATTGACTTCAAACTCTGAAAAAAAAAAATTAATTAATATTCACATACGAAGCACATTATATACAGAGTTATACTTTATATTGATTAATAGTTAATAACGATCAGTTAATTGGAATCAAAAATTATGTACCTAAACCAAATCATGCACTTAACAGAAGCGTGTATACAATTTTCTTGAGGAGGGGGATCTTCTAAACCTACCATGTTGCCTTAAATTATAATAATTTGTTTAAATCATCAATACAAAACATGTTAGCAAAATGTACTATCATATATAACATACATGTTAATATGTTACCCATACGAGTAACTAGACCTTTAAGTTAGTGGGAAGTTAGGGCTTCTACCCTAGCATTTTTATAATAAGTAAATTAAGTTGAGGGCTCCACTTATGGAGATTGAAGGAAGATGATAAATTATATTTTAACAAAATAGTTTAAAATATGATTCTGTTTTAAGTAAAAGACTGCTATTAGTGTCGCAAGCGATTGTTGTCCGGTCTCTCGTTAAGTCAACGAAACTTAAATTATTAATTGTTTGGACATTTATTTCCTGAATATTTAATTAAAATAATAAACTTAAAATTATGGGATGCTACTATGAATACTTTTCTATATAATGTCTGTGTTTTGTACAACAAATTCTGTCCTCACTTAGCAAACGATCAATCAGAATAAATAATAAGCAAATGCATACAAATCTATGCTCTAGTAATTACATATTATTAATTTTTTATCTGATGATCGCTCTATACAGAACTCCCTGAACCATCATCCAAATATGAAATTCAACATTGATAGTATCATATTTGGATAGGCGAATATAGCAAATAATGTAAAAGCGAATTTATAAACTTGAGTATTATACAATTTTATATATTATACTATTTTTGGTCTTAAAATTATAATTTTAATATAAACTAAATGTTAATTTTGATTATATTTTTAATATGTATGTGTTGTCTCTATCTTAGAAGTGCTTAACATAGCAATTGTACACTCAGCCGTCATCTTTCATCTCTTTCACCTTTCATCTCAAGCCTCAACATTATCTGTGTTTGTATGTAGATTTTTATCAATTATTCAGTTTTTGTAAGTGAGTTATGAGCATTTTTAATATACGCTATGTTATGTACGCATAACTTTCCAAAATATTGAACTGTTGTAAAAAAAAAACAACATACGAACACAGATAATGTTTCTACCATCAAGTTTCATAATAGGTCGATTCACTCTAATTTTCAAACTAACGGATCTAAATGTGATCGGCTGAACGTAAATTTGCTATGTTAAACACTTCTAAGACAGAAACAACACATGCAAGTATGGCGTTATCTTAATGACATTAAAAATATAATGATATTATTACGGGTTATACACAACATTGATTCATTAAATGATTCACTAAAATTGAATGAACCAATCCATGGGCCAATAAATCATGTTAAGGGACCATTAGTTCGCTATTATTCATTAAATTTGTATTGATTGTTTACTCAATTTTGCATTACAATTTTAATTACAGCCCACAAATAGTTTGTAACAAAACAAAACCAATAATACACTAAATATAAATAATGGCTTATTTTTCTAGTTATACATATAGAATAAATCTTTGTACAAATGTAAAAATAACTTTGGGTTTTTCATTGCTAGGTATTATAAAAATACACAATTAAACATCTAATAAAAATATGTTGGCCATTTCTTGATTTATTTTAGAAACACTTGAATAGAAAAAATGACATGGTCGGCATGGGAGGGTTGGCCTAAATGTCTACGAATATAATAGCTACAATAAATAAATAATTTGTTTAAATCCATATGAAAATGGTTATTCGATGTAAAATTACCTATTTTAAAATTTGTTGTTTTCGTGGTGGAACAAGAAAATAACCTTGGAAATATCATGTAAATTGGAATTGAGATACCCGTTGGTACATTTCCTTCAGCAACTTGAATGTTTTGAATTTCAGTGGCTATAAAATTATTTAAGTAATGCAATTAATACAATTTTAACTTTAACTTAAAAAAGCACACAACACAAATAAACGTTTTCATCAAACTATTATTTAATACTAAATTATTATATTATTAGACCAATTAAAAACTATTTGTCAAAATTCAATGTAAGAATAAAAATTATTGTTTAAGAAGATATTGGGGTTTTTTTTAGAATGGTCATGTCTCATGTGATATCATTGGGCCAGGCTGGATATAACTGCCTATCTTATATGTGTAAAAATTGCTTACTTTATACAATGATTTGATTTTTGATGTTTGATTTACATATACATTGGTGACTTTGTGCTTAAGACAAATTAGTAAAAGAATTTTAATAAAACGTTTAATTTTTTTTGAAATATTGTTAATACTAAGAGATAATGGCAGTGCACCATATTGTGTTGTAATAAGTAGCTGCTGTGGTTACAAAGGCGTAATTAACGAAAATTACTATTTTTAATAATTTACTATTTAAAATTAAACACTTTAGACAAAGTGTAGACCCATAAACATCTTCAGTGCATAAACGCGCATTAAAAATCCAAAATATAATTTGAAGGTAAGTAAATTATTGTGTGTAGCAAGACTTTTACATCTATTAAATAGGGAATTATGGCGAGCCCCGCTCAATGACGTCACGCGTCTTTATTCAATTTCTCATAACTCAACTCATGTGAGTAGAAAAGTTAAACATAGGTATACCATTTTTCTTAGAATTGAACATTTTTTAAAAACTTTTTTTGTGTTAAATGCTCTTTTAAGTGAGATGAGAAGATTTACCATCTTTTGAAAAACCTTCGGCACAACCACAGGTCTCAACGCGCACCAATTGTACATCTATTGATTTAATGGGGATATCAGAATGTTCAATTTTCATCTAGAAATATATAAACAAATATTTAAATTAACTATAAAGTATGAATAATTGAATGCAGTATACATCTCATATTATCTCACTTCTCCAGTAAATGGCTGCATAATTGAACAGATAACCGAATCGATTGAACCAACAATGTGAAACTTTGGTATGTTGGAACTATCATTTACATTTGCCAAAGTATTTTGATTTATCACAAATTTGTCCACTTTAGATGACAGCATATTTAAGCATGGCTAAAACAAACCGTAACAAATAAAAACACTCTATAACATTTTATGTGGATCGGTTTTGGTCGTCCGTCAACGATTACCTACATTATTTTCGACGACAAACTCTAGCGTTTTGTGAATGTCCTTGTTCAAGAAATTCCTCTTGATGACGGCCTTTAGCAGGTACTGGACATTAATGAACACGCCGTGATAGGACTCGTACAGCACTTTGTTCAGGAGTGGCGTGACTGGCGCTTCGAACGGTATTTCTGTGATACCGCTCGGAAAGCGGCCGGCGCGGGCTATTTCCAACGAGCACATCATCAACTGGACTGGCTGAAAATTCGTCAACAACCGTGGGTAAATAATATAGTGGTGGGGACGTGACATGGACGCGCGTATACCATACCTTGACAGAATTGTAGAAAGCGTCGAAAGCGCCAACGTTCTGCGTGCTGATCTGTAGGTCGACCGTGCCCTCGATGGTCATGAAGACGCCTTCGTGTTTGACGTCCGTCGGCGTGTCGATGACCACCACCCCGGCGATCGTGTCCTGCGAACATTTTCGTACGGATTATCTACGATATCATTGACGACCATCGCTGACGATAGTCACCGGCGTACTTACGCCTTCGCGATACACCTTGTTCGACCGCTTCAGTTGTATGTCCAAGTTTACGGCCATGGCTACGATTGCGAGGAATTCCGTGGAGCAAACCCGTGGGCGGCGGCGGTGAGCCCCGTCGTACAGTAACGCGACGCGAGTCTGATGTGGCACTAACGTCGGACGTGTAAAATATGTCTACGTAATATTATTTTTTATAATCGTATGTATTTTACGTTTAAATTAGTCGACACGGGGCAACAGGCGGCTGTGGCACGGCTTCACAATATTTTTGTTATTATTTTGATAACAATTACAAGACGTAATAATCACCATGATTATTTATCACTTGTTATTATAATCATTTCTTAAAATGCTGTTATCGTATTGTTGTCGATGAGTGATAACAATGTTTGTTGTTCACTGACGGCAATGTGATAACGACATCTTGTATCGCGAGATTACTAATTGATAATAATTAATAGTTAAAATAAATAATTTTACTGTATTGTTATTTTGTCTAGTCTAATAACTTCAGACGTTTATCTAGGCGACGTTTCAATATTGGTCGTGTCTTCGAGGTTCAACGCAGTCACGCCTCGAGATCAACAAGTTTCGACTCTCAAAAAAGTCTCATTTCGATCTGAAGATCAAAAAATCGACTGAAACCGGTAGTCGTAAGGAGTTACCTACTACAACTTGTTATATACCCAACTTTCTCACCAACTAGGTGAGCCCCTTAACCGAGAGGTCCGTACATTCTCGAGTTATTTGACCGTAGCCGGCAGGTGTGTGAGTTGTCATCTTTTATACTATAACATAATATTCTAATAGACCTATATATTGTATAATAGGTACGTAGAACCTAGAATAAGTTACCTATTTTCAATTTTCCTCCAAATATTAAAAACATGTATTATTTTTTTAATTTCACAAATGTATTTTATTGTATTTTTTGTATGAAATTATGACACATATTATTTTATTTGTGTTTATTATAATATAATATACAATTTACAGTCATAAATACCTAACACTCTTAGTACTAATTATATAGGTAATTATTAAATGATAATTTGATTGTTAGGATAATTATAACTCTTCTTGATATATAAGGATTTATTATATATGTTTACTGAGAGTATGCAGTCTTGATTTTACTTTCAAGTAATCATTGGTAAAGTCACATGAAAAATTGATTGCTGTTCTTTAGCAATGACTGTCATTTGTGTTTATTCACCTGAAATAATGTATTTTGGTAACTTTACATTCTTACATGTTAACCACAAACTATATATATTATTTGTACTTATATAGTGAAACTTCCATAAGACAAAGTTTAAAATTTAATAGTGAAAACATTTAAGGCTCAGTCAAACACAAAGCGGTTTGTCCGCGCGGACAGCGAACCCGTACACCATGGCAGACTGCTTTCTGTTTGACCGAGCCTTACAAAAACCAGTTTTTATTGATAAGTATTTCGATAAGAGTGAAACATCGAGTTCGTTTATTTGAGATAAATGTTACATGTAATTAAACAATGAAGAAGTCGTCGTGGTTGCTCAAAAATAATTCGTTAATGAAGTGTTCCGTATATATAAAAAAATGAATAATATATTACCTTTTTTTTCTGCTTTGTCAGTTTTGCCAACCAAGAAGACATAATTGGTTCATTTGTCCAATCGGTGTGGCTAAAATCTAAGTGATCCTATTGATATTAGGGCCATCCCCTTATTAAACGCCTGATGGTAAAAAGTCGTGTATTACACAGGTTTCATTTTTATTTGTCATTAGTAACTTATTGGGGGAATGCTTTTAGATGGTCGTTTTAATTTAGGAATGTTGGGACGCTTTTTCCAAGCCTCTGAAAAAAAAATTAAATTTATGGTTCAGAATGTATCACTATTTTTGATATTTATATCACTATTTAATACAAAATAGTTATAAATTATGGTTATTAAACATAGCGTAGAACAATCATTATAGAACCAAAAAAATAATGTACAATTTGTAAATATATAAAAAAAAAACTGATCAACTTATAGCATACCCATTAGTTGTGATAGTTTAGTGTAGTTAATTCGATATGGATTGGGCAAATCAAATTGTTGGTATTTTTTGCGCTTAAAATGTTGTGAACCAATTTTTTCTCCAAGAAGTATATCATTAATCCATAGAATATTAACCACTCGTATTTTTAAAGATACAGCTTTTTTTATCATTTCACCTTTTAATCTATAATAACAAACGTAAGTACATTTAATTATTTGGTAAAAAATTATACAATCTTAATTAAATAATAGAGTAAGACACAATTTATAGTATTTACACTTAATGGTGAAAACCATTTAAACCATCTAAAGGTTTTCAACCTTTTTAAGACTGCCGCCTCCAAAGAATCAAAATATTTAATATCGCTTCGTTTATAAAATAGGCGGAGAGAGGAGCAGCTGAATTGAAAAACAAAAAGACGTTAGTTGTTGTATTTGTATATTTTGGGCTATTATATATATTGCTGAGTAAGTTTAAAATTATTTTTAAGATACTACAAAAAAAAAATATTAAACGCTTAGTGCATATTTAGTGATATTTTAGTTTTAAGAGTATATTTCTTAATTTTTGCCATTTGATAATTCATAATAAGTTAATAATTACGATTTAAAAATTTGGCAACAGTAAATAAATATATATATTACAATGTATCACTTCTTTATTTTGAGAGTTTTCATTAGGTATTATTGTATTGTGTTTTTCAAATCCTTAATTGACATGTCCCGTTTTTATCATAAATAATTATTAAAAATTATAAAAGAATATAAATATAAGTATTTAGATATCTTGTTTGTAACAAGATAACACATAGCTGCCGGCGGCAGGACACAACTGCCGACCGGAGTCGGTAGCATCGGCTTTGGTCGCCTATTGTCATTGCGACTACCAGGCATCTTGGAGGGGGCAATAGAGCCTCAGCGAATGAGCAGCCATCCGTTTTCTCGGCGAACAAAGTATATATAAAAATATTAAGATAAGACAGGGACATTTACTCAAAACCGGCTTTCAACAAAATCGGTTTAGTTTTTTTGACTTAACTCAGAACTAATAAGCTTAAGTAGTAACTTAAAGTTTTCATCAAATGTTTTATGTAGTTTTAAAAATATTTTGTCTCTATTTGAGTTGTTTATAACGATGACATATTTTCAAATCAATAAATAAATTTTGATTGAACAAAAAAATTGAAACTTTTCTCTACTTATATAAGATATTATATCATTGTACAATAACATTTACCAATGTCACGTTTTCGTTAAAATATTAATTCAACCTACTAATAATAGAAACTTTAATAGCAATAATATCATAAAATAAACTTAGTAATATAGGCTGAAAGACTTTTTTCGCTCAGAATTGTTTTTTTGTGTACAATAATTCTAAGAATTTAAATTTAACACATTCATTACAGTGGAACACTAGACTGTATGTACAGCAGAGGTGTTGCCCACCTTTCATTTGTTGCTAATAAATAAATATTATAAGCAATACTATTATTATTAAGAGGACGTCACACCCGCATGCGTTGTCTATGAAGACCTCGTTCAATTTTGGTGTTTGAATACAAGCACCTATTACAAAATTAAAAGATGACAATATTTAAGAAGGCAAGACGTTGAGTTTTTAAAAAAAAAATTTAATTTAGTAAAGCTAAAGGTATTTTAAAAATGTTGACATTTTTGCTATTTCTTAATGATATAATGAACGTTATATTGGGTATAATGGAGAAAACGCCAACAACTTGCCCTCAGTAATATTGTCATAATTCAATTTTATAATAGGTATTTTTAAAAGAACCAAAATTGAGCGATTTATACTCAGACTGCGTAATCGCATTTTGTCTATATCGTAAGTTGTGTAAGACGAAGACAACACATGCGGGTGTAACATCCTCTTAATATTTAAATGTTTTAATAAATTATGAAACATGGCGTATTATACAAAATAGTCTACATATTATAACATATTATTCATCTGAGCAGCCCCGAAATATATCAAGTTTTTGGCGGTACATAACCAAATGTTTGATGTGATGAAAATTTAAAAAAATTTTAAAAGAAGACATAGGTTGTGCGGTTAGCTATTGAATTTCGTAGAGCCTAGAAACGCGATTGGTTAATAAATTGGGCCGTTTTTAAATATTTGTATCGTATAACTTGGAAAATGACAATGAGCTCCCTACTCCCCGACCCCAAAAAAAAATTCTAGATCCATCACTGCATAACATTATAATAATTGTTCTTCATAGAAAAAAACATTTAATATACCTTTGAAGATGTACTTGGCTGTTTATAATCATGAATTTTAAATCATTTGTATATCAGTTTTTTTCCAATTTTAACTTTTCTATTTCCGATTTTAATTGGCTGGTTAATTTAATAATATGAAATTAGTAAAAATATTCAATACTTGATTAGAACCAAACCTAACATTTAAATTAACTAAAAAATATTAATTTACTTGAGCTTGACGGGTACACGTATACTTCTTTTTGCAACAAAATACTTTTACTTTGCTCTTCGTTAAACTTGTAATTTTTTGCAGATTTTGTATAGGATGTGGTATACTGTTTTGTATAAAAATAGCAATAATAAAATTACATAATATAATATTGAAGTTTAAAAATTGCAATATTTTAAGAGCTAACAAGATTACTTACTCTTTCTTTCTATTAAGCTGATATGAAAATAAGTTGTTAACTACATCATCAATAGCAATACGGCTTTTTTTTAAGCTATCCTCCTAGGTATTCAGTTTAGATGTGAGTTCTTCGACTTCAATCTTGTAGATTTGATTGAGCATCCAACCAACATTTAATTGCTTCCTAAAACAAGAATTCTATATTAATTATAAAGATAAATTATTGATAAGTGGTTTTAGAGTTTATGTCCTATGAATAGAAATCTTTTTATACACATATTATGTTGTTAATTAATCCTGATAATTTGTTGCTGTAATAAATTATTTTTATTGAATTATTATGTTTTTCATAATTTTTTTTTTTTTAATTTTTGTTAGATAACCAAATTAAGAATTGGAATTTGAATTACTTTTCTATGAATTTTAATTTCCTATAAAGCATTATATATATATATTTATTCTATATTCTATATTATATTTAACTTTGTAAGATCTATTACATGCCAGACATCAGTATATACTATACCCTGTTCAAAATAAGAAGCGACCTGATTTACGCTTGAAAACCGGTTTTGCTAGTGGCCACCTGGTCACTTCTTATTTTGAACAGGGTATATATAGACGTTGAAGACCAAATTGTAAATTAGTTTAATAATTGTAAAGCTTTTAAATTATATATATTGACAGTAATTTTATTAAAAATTTAAACGAATCTATTTTAAATAGGTTTTATTTTTAATTGATATTATTATGATTTGGATTAGTACTGAAAATTGATATCCAAGTTCAAATAATAAAAAAAATTTTATATTTTGTTTTGTTCAAATTAGCTAACGTGAAAAAATTTTGACTTTGACCACAAGCGAAAAAATATGCTTGTTTACTAAATCTATATGCTTGATAGCCAAAATCAGTAATTATATAACAAGATGTGGAATCATATACAAGTAGTAAATAACTAATTTTCTAATAATTTTTAAATTATATACAGTTAATTTTTTACACAATATTCTTTGAACGTACCTATAAAAATATCTACTTTAACTAGTCCTTAAAGTTCTCCTTTGGTTTTAACTGTAAACCTCTCATTTCCCGATGGATGAAGTCTGACCAATTCATGTTCATATGCAGGGGCTCCACGATTTGGAGATGTATTTGAGTATTTCGAGCTTTGGATAAAAATATCACAAAAAATTAAATTTTTTTCAAACAACAAGTCTATATTAAAATATGTTTCACCTAAATATGCAACCATCCCAAAATACAAGCAGAGTGGAATATGTCCCCACATAGTTGTATCTAGAATAAATTCCTGAAAGTTCATTGCAAATTGTGCAAGAGACAATCTCACTGAAAAAAAAAAAAGAATTAATTAATTTGAACTCAATTAGGTAAATATTGTATTCAAAATCATGTATATCATTAAAATTAATAAACATTACTTAAAATATAAATGTAGTTTAGTATATCTGACACACACACACATAAAATCATTAGAAACATATTATGATAAAACGTTCATAGATGTCAGTTTAATCATAACAATTTAATGAAGTGACTAAACAATTTTTTTTGAATAATTCAAACTATCCATTAAAGTAACACAGAATAAACAGTTTAAAGATTAAGGCCCGGGTTTTCAGTCATATTTAACAGCTAGTTAGAGACATTAAACTATCAGTTAAATTTAACAGAGATTTAACTGAAACTTTCAGTTTATCAGTTAATGGTTAAACATAACTTTAGGATAAAGTGTTGGTTAAGTTATCTATTACTTTTTCTACTTGTTAAACGTTTAACTGAAGGATTAAAACATAGAGTTCATATTGTAATATTATATAATATAATAAAAAAATAAGCTACCTCATCATTATATGATTGTATTGTAGGTACTACTTAGGTTCAAAATATATACATTTGATATGTACCTGACCACGCTATGTTTTTGTCGTTCCATGAGACAGCATTCCTTATTCTCCAAAACTCTATTTTTTGAGGTGCAAACTTCAACAGCAATTCCTTCTCATTAAAGGAAAAATTTGTAGAGCTTACAAGAGCCCGTTTTTTAATGATTGAAGCTGATTTTTTTCCCATAGTATCAATAGATGTACACAGTACCTATTATATTATGTATATTCTATTAAAATAATTAAAAATATTAATCAATAATTATTAGTTATTTTTAAATATGAACTCAAAAATGTGAAAAAAATATTAACACGGGCAAATGGGCAATACCTAGGTATCTAAATAATGATAATGCAATAAAATGTAATGGTTGTAAATTTGTAATGATAACAGTAATTTTGATCAATCACGAGAGACGAGAGTGACTTCTTATACCAAAGTAATTAATATAAAGTAATTAATGTCCACTATCAATACCTTAACTTCTAGAAAATTATCTAGGAGATAACTATCTGAAGGATTACTACTGATAAACGGAAGGCAGCACAACCATAACTTTATCTGCCAAATAAATTTATCCAACAGTTACTTATCTAGCAGTTAGACATACTACTGAAAAACCGGG